TTTTTTTTGTTGAAATCACTAGTGATACTTAACAAAGGGTCTCTCTAAGCATGTCTTTATGGATATGAACTTTGAACATGCCTCTATCATTGACAAAAAGATCAGCCCGTTTACTCAAGCTGCAATGGAGATATTTTAATTTCTTATCGCCGTGTTATTTATGGTCCACCCTGTAGATATATTTCATGATTTTTAGCACACTCTTCTCTTCCTCCGATAGAATGAAAGACTATAGACTACGTTTATGGAAATTTACATTGTTTCTCCAACGGAGACTTTTCCAGTTTTTTAATAATATTTATCTAGAAAAATGGTATTTTATTCAGAAACTGAGTTTATTTGATTCCACAATTCACTGGATTTCCGAAAAAAGGCTTTAGTAAAACTGATAGTCTTCTATTAAGTTTTGTAAAATTGTTTCTCTGGATGGTCGTTTATTCTTGGAAAGTTCGGTATGGAAACTAAAGAATTGTAATATCTACTTAGGGCATACTAAAAGTAGTAGCATCATTATCTTATTTTCGTATAGGAAGCTTGAAGAAGTTTTCTTTTTTTGTTATGTAGTGATAGAGAAAATGATACTCTATTTTTCTATCCTATTTGATCGTACTTCAACTAAAATTTCGATAAGATCTTTTTTTCTGTCAAACATCAAGGCAGAGAGCTGCGGTTTTCATCTTTCGAAAGAAGAGATGAAGATGCGTCAAATTGCATATTACATTTATTTCTAAGATGTTGTCTGAAGTTTGTTTAGCCAATTTTCTAAGTGTGGAAAAATGGCTTCTTATCAAAAGAAAAAATTGAAAAACTTAAATAATTCATATCAAAAAAAAAAACTCTGTAATATATAATTTGATGTATCTTCATCTCTTCTTTCGAACGATGAAAACCGCAGCTCTCTAGCTATTTCCATTCTTGAGTTATTGCAAAAATGTCCACCGCCATTATTTTTTTAAACAGGCTCAAGTTTTACACAAAGAGATTAGTTGAAGTATGATCAAATAGGATAGAAAAATAGAGTATCATTTTCTTTGTCAATATATAAAAAAAGCAAACTTCTTCAAATTCCCTATACGAAAATAAGATAATGGCACTACTACTTTTGGTATGTCCTAAGTACATTCGATATTAATTCATCAATCACAGAGAAAAAAGTATCCTAATTCAATATCTACTGGAATTGCTAATTTATTTAATCTATAGCGCTCTAACCAGTTGGGTTCAAAAATTTTGCACCCAGATCCGAATCTTACTCTTAATGAAAATCTTTTTTACGATTACTTGTATTTGGCGGCTAACAAATCTTATACATTTCTCAGGCAGTCTTGACAGGATTCGAATCTTATCCGACGTCGACTAATCATTAAACTCAAACTACGATCCAAGAATTGAAGTATCCTTGTTTACAGCATTGTAGACAGATACAAACTTTCTTCTATGAATCAAGTGAAAATGTTTATTTCTTTTTGTATTTGATTATACTTATCATCAGTTGCATCCATGAATATATTATAAACATTTATCAAATCTGATGTACATTCTATGAATAAATTTCAATATATAAAACATTGTTATTAGATATTTCTTGTATTCTATAAAAAGAAAAAACTTGTTTTCATTTGAAAAATTATTCATCTATATCGCACGGATACAAATAATTTTAAGATATTCACAAAAAATTATCTGTCTTTATATATATATTTTTATATAAGGTTGAAGGATGAAACAAACACAAAATATATATATATTTTTTTTGTCATAATCTAATATACAAAATATAACAAGACAAGAATATTTAATGTAAATTTCGCTGAAAATGCGAAAAACGACATATATGTATATATATATATATATATAGTTAGGGACATAATTGAACTATATATCAAATAAGAATAAACGAGAAACAAAAACAAAAAAAAGAGAGAATAGAAATGAAAATGAGAAATTTTTTTTTTAATTAATTATCGTCTTTAATCATCAAATTTTCTAATAATTGACGAAAATAAGTATCAACAACATTAGCACATTGAGAAAATGTTGAATTAATTGAATTAAATTGTCGACAATTGTTAAAGATTTTATTAACATCACGTATATAATCACATATTGTATTAAATTTACTATTCATTACTTTAGTTTTTAATGTTGTTAAATCTGAAAAGAAAAATTTAATTTAAAAAACAAGACAAAATTCTTAAACGATAAAATCAGCATCCTCTCGAAATTGATTTTTATCATTTTCAAAATAGTCAAATCTAATTGTTCGATCGCTATTGACTTGATTATTTTAGAAATAATGGTAAACTTAGTTTCTAGAGGACGCTGATTTCACTTCTTCCTTTTTTTTTTACCCATAGGATCTTTTATAATTGTATAATAATTAGGTACATCTTTGATATCAACTGGTTTTTGAAATGGCCATGCCATTTTATGTGCCTAAAGAAATAGATGAAGACAAAAAAACATATATATATAAAGGGTGTTCCAGAAGTTCTGACTCGATTTGTATAATTAATTTTTTTATATTAAAACATATACTTAAAAATGCGTATCTATGATAAAAAGATGCAGTAAAAGACGCTCTACAAAACAGCCTATGATTGATCCTCCCTAACTCATATAATAAGAAAGTTATAGGCTTAGAAATGCGCTTCACAAAAAAAAAAAATTAACGGTGAACTCGACCTCGGTATTTTTGCTTGAACTCCTG